AGTGTTTTCAAGTCCACTATTTCTAATCCTGTGAGAAATTGTTTCCACGATTTCAAGAGAAAATGTGTATACAAAGTAGTGCTAAGTGAAATAGTAAAATGATTAAGAGAGACAAGAGAAAGACTGCAGGATGTGTGGTTTTGCCATCCAGCCAATGAAATGTAATAATGTAACAACCACAGATGAACTAGAGAGCGTGTTAGAGGAGCATCCCTGTACTTCCCTCATCAGGTGAGTCAGATGGTATGAACCAGTCCATTTTATAGATGAGGGACTTGAAGGCCTTAACAGGTGAGTGACACACCAAAGACTCAATTAGAGAGTTACAGAATTTTGGAGTTAGAAGTTGCAAACAAGGAGTCAAGGATTCCAGTCTCCTGTCTGGAATTGTTTTTCCTTTATTGCTTTGCTCTTAATAGCTGGAGAATGGAAAGAGAATATGAAAAAAGCCACTGTTTTTGAGGCATGGCGGTGAGCAGGAAGGATGCTGGACCCAGGGGGAGGACACCTGCATGCCGTTTCCAGCCCTGTCATCTGATCATGGTAAACCACAAACCCTTCTGGACTTCATCTGCTTCATCTAGCAATGAAAGGATCGGATGAAATGAAGAGACTTATCTTTCTTACTACTATATTAACAGATATTAATAAAAAAATCCAGTGCCTTGTAAAAATATGGAGGGCAGAGTGAGTATTGCAGTGCCAAGGCTCTTGGTTTGCTGGGAAAATTCTGGCAGAGCTCTTCTGGATGCCTCCCACATAGGACATACTGCTAAATCATTGCTTTAGGTATCATTGTGGTGCAGTGGATGAGCTCTGAGTGGCATGGTCAAAGTCAAAGAGGCACAAGGGCTTTTTTACCTCAGCTTGACCTCATTAAACCCACTGGAGTATGACTTTGGCCATATAAAGCGAATGTATTGGCTCTGAGCCCATCGGGGTTCTGAGGCTCTTTCTCAACGAGGAGTCAAGCAGGAAATGAGATATATTTTATTTTATGCAGTCTGTATTAAGGATCTGCATAGTCCAGGGCATGACATGTGACATGAGAATGTGCTAAAATGCACATCTGGGACTTGTAAAACTGCTTTCACTTCACTTGGTGATATCATGAAAAGAACACTGAACTGAAAACCAGAAGACTTGAACTGCAGTCTTGAATAGGGAGGTCAACTTGGAAAAGAGGGTAGCATCTTGGAGCCTGTTTTCCCTTTTCTAAAATGAGAGTTCTCAATGGATAGCTTCTAAATGTTCTTCTGGTTCTAACAATTTGAGATTCTGTGTAATATTAGAACTTGATGAGACACAGTAAGGTTTCTTATGGGTCCATCTACACCCTAGAGACAAATCAAGCAATATATATATTTATATACCAAGCCTTGCTGGGGCTTCCAGGAGACTTGAGTCTTCTGAATTTGGCTGCCACTTGAGCTAGGCTTTCTGACTATATACTTAAGGATGGCATGTTTAGAGAAAAACAGAATAGCTGTGGCATCTCTTAATTATAGTTTAATCCTTTACCAAGGATTTACACATGGAAGCTTTGAGGTTTTAATTAATGTTCAAAATTGGCAAAGTGCAGCCAGATCCAGAGGTAGTTGGATATTTTCAGGCATTATGGAAAGTTAAATGGACTAATATGACCATTTGACCTAGTTTATCCTTCCTATGAGGAATGCAATCTCCATTCCTCCAATGTATTCCATTGATAATTGGGTCTCGTTAAAATGTAGTTATCATACTTCACTCGGTGAGGTCCAAAATGAGGCAAGTTTCTTGCCTTTAGATATTCAAATCCTGCTAATATATTCTTTTTCTGAATTTTTGCTATTATATAACCTTATATTTGTCTCCTATTTTCTATAGTCATCCTACCCATTATTTCATTTGATCAGCACAGCAGGCTTACCTGATAAGCTGGAGGTAGAGTGGTGTTTCCATTTTAAAGAGGAAAAACTGAGGTTCAGGAGCCAAAGTCCCATGCCTAGAAGTGACCACAGTCCCAATTATTTTTTCACTTTTTTGTTACTAGTGAGTGGATTGCTTTGTTCTGCTATTCAAAGGGCATCATTGTTCAGGCCAGGTGTATATTTGCAAGCTCCTCACTGATAGCTAAATGTTGGCTCATCAGAGGGAATTACTCAGAAAAACACAATGTGAATGATTAATCTATATGCTGCTGAAGGATATGAGTGATTATAGGATACTTTGGGAAAGAATATTTTGTATATTGTCATAAAATTTATCAATATTTTTGGTAAGTGTAAAATGTGGGAGAAGTGCCTAGGTAGAATAAAATGATCCTGTAGAGCTGGAAGAAAGAGAACATCCCAGAAAGAGTTTAAAAGAAAAATCAGAAAGATGTGGAGTAACTAGAAAAATGTAACTGTAGAGCAACTACCTTACCCGTGAGTGTGGTTTATGTTCTGAAAGTTTGAATTTTAAAACTTGTACGCCTGATTCAATGCTGTCTCCTTCAAAGAAGTCATCTTGAGAAGCCATTCATGATGCTTATTACTTAAATTATTTTTGGAACTTCTCTTATAATTGCCTTCTGAAATGGACACTTAAAAAAAAAACATATCTTAATTTAGATGAAGTCAGAATTATTCTGAACCATATCCGGTAAAAGAAGGGTACTTAAGCCAGGTGACTTATTTCTCTCTCTTTCCCTTCCTCCCTTCCCCTTCCTTCCTTTCTCCTCCCTCCTTTCTTCCAAAAAAAGAGAGAAAACTAAAATTTGTTTGCATGTCTCATTAACCTTCTCTGAAGAGTTCCAGAAATTATTCTAAGCAATGCAATATTATTGCAGTAAGAACATACTTTCCAAGTTAATTACATTGGGTGCTTACATTCTGGTTTGTTAGTTTAAAATATTTTTGTTTTGTGGCTTTGTGATTCTGTTCCTTGGAACGAATTATATACGGCTTTGGCTGGAGTGTTGAAACTGTGAACTACAGGAGATCTGAATATTATTTTCTAACTGGTGATGGGCTTGAGCAAGCAGCATAGAGCTGAAAGATGAGGGGCAGTGCAAGGAATGGGGAGGATGCTATGTGGAGCGTCGAGTTGAACTAGGAGTGCTACACATTTACCAGTTGGAGGTGTCCAGAAATAGCAGCCAGGGGATAAGAGGAGGGGACTTGAAGTCATGGCATGTGATAACTACGTAAAGGAACTGGAGATGTTAAACCTGATGTGGCATATGACAGGATGGGAGGGTGAAGAGATCATGGGACTGGGAGTGTGGCTTAACCTGTTAACTCTGCTCCCAATTAGCTGTGGAACATTGGGCAAATAATTTGACTTCTCCGTGCTTTGGTTTCCTTCACCTATCAAGTTAAAATTCTAGAACTAAATGAGCTTAAGTTTTCTTCAAAGATTAAAATTTATAAGGTAGCCGTGATAAATGTCTTTGAATACTTGAAGAGCTTTCATGTGGAAGAAGGATTAGACTAAAACTGTATAATATCTAAGGAGGAGACCAGGATCTAGGGGTGTCAGGGGAGCAGATTTCAACTTTAAGTAAAAACAAAACCAAAAACCTCTGCCCAACAGTGAGATGACTACCTTGAGGGTGGAGGGTGCCATGATACTAAGAGCTGAGAGAGCCCATCTTATGTTGTAGAGGGAAAGCAGAGACTGTAAGAAGTGGTGGACTAGTTGATCATGAAGGTCTCTTTCAGTTCTGAGAGTCTAAGAATCTCTCTTCTTTTGAGGTCTTCAGTGTTCTTGATTGCATTTGTGAAGACCATAAGACCAGAGAATGACAGGCTGAAAAAGCCCAAGCAGCTCTAGAAGTAAGAAGTGTTCCATGAAGGTTTGGTTCATGATCTCTAGTCATCTTTATAATTGCCTGAAGGATATGCATCTTAGCAACCTTGTTGCTTAACCTAAGGTTACCTGGAAGAATGAAGAGTCTCACAGTTTCGTTGAATGAGAAGACTTAAAAGAGGAAACTTTAAGCTGTCTCCTAATGCGTTCTTCTTCCCTTCAATGTGTTGGGAAACTGTTGTCGGTCACAAATTCAGAGCCCCTTGGAAACCTTGTGGCAATTACAAAATACATCTTTTGCTTCTCAGCAGAGACATGTCTCACAGCAGCGTCAGGCCCAAGGCTCTAGAGTAGCATGTCTTGTGAACACTGAGCTAATCATTATTGGCTCCTCGGGCCATTATGGTAAAGGGACATTAATTACCATCTCCACAGTTGCACTAATGTGATTGTAATGAGCATGCCAGTGGGAATTCCCGGTGAGGGAACTCTTCATCAGATCAGAGCAACCAACAGGGGAACGGGGTCAGCTGGAGGTGCAGGTGTCGAGGAGGAAGCCAATTTCATTGGTCTGACTCTAGTTACTTCCAGAGTTTCTGCTGATTTATGTGCCTGTGCCTGGAATACTTTCTGAAATACCTCTCCCTCCTTCCCCACAACCCCCTGGTATTTTCTGTTCATTATACACACTGCAATAGCCCTGGTTTCCAGATGCATCTTGTGGAACCAGATCCCTGACTCATCTCACAACTCTTAGAAGTATGGGCTGGGCCAGATCTTAGCAAGAGTTCAAAAGTATGTACCTATCTCTGGGAGGCAGAGAGACCCTATGCTCAATATGCCACCTTTCTTACCATAACACTCCCACTTTCTTTTCTTCTACAACCTTCACCCTTTAATGGACATCCTTTTGTGAATAATAATTGTTAACGCTTAAGGAAGGTTTACTGTGTACCAGGCCTCATGGTAAGTTATCTCATTTAAGCCTTACAAACCTAATGAGGTAGGTTTCTTTTTATCTTTTCATATTATTCCTATTATGTGAAAACTTGGACAACTCAATGCATAACCAAATGGGAGCTGGAGGGATACCAGGTTTCACGGTGGTATTTATATATCTATCTATGTGTCTGTCTCCATTCACCTTTCTCTCTGTCTTCCCAACTATCTTGTTGTTGGCATACCTTCTTCATACTTTTAACCTTTCTTTTATTTTATCTTTACAGGTATCTGATCAATGTCACTTTTGAGGGAAGAAATCTGTCCTTCAGTGAAGATGGCTACCAGATGCACCCGAAACTGGTGATAATCCTTCTGAACAAGGAGAGGAAGTGGGAGAGGGTAGGACATATCTTTTGGCAATTCTTGAGCTAAGTAGACGGGGTAGGGATATAAAATTTTGCAACACGTTCAAGGAAAACCAAACCAAACCTTGGTTTTGGTCTTTGCGCTGGGAAGTAAGAGTGCAGTACTTTGAAGAACATAGAAGAAGTCATTCCTCAAACTTGCATCTTCATTTTCTTGCTCCTTTGGTTAATCAAGAGATTAGTTTCTTAATGCATTACCATTTTTATTGGTTATGGTGCTGTCTGAATCATGACTTTGTCTTAATGGAAGAGAGTACACATGTATAATATAACATAATTTCAGGAAGAAATCAAATTAGTGGTACAATTCAGAAGTTGTATCCTACACAGTATACTGGGGAAGTCAATGAAACCTGATTTACAAACACACAGGTTTGAATTTACTGTGATTAGAGGCTTGCCATGCAAGGCTCCTCTCAGGATCTCGCCCCCTGCCAGCTGATCCCAGTGTCTGAAACTCTATCAATCAGAAATTAATTTCTGTGGGTGCCAGACTACCTAGGTTCAATTCCTAGCTCCTCTACTCACAAACTTGTCTATGTCGGAGCTTGAACAAATCTCTTAACTACTCTGTGCCTCAAGTTTCCTCATCTATAAAAATGGGATTAAAAATAATAGTACCAAGATAACAGGGTTGTTATGAGGATTAAATATATTAATATACATAAAAGACTTAGAAATGTGCCTGGCATATAGTAAGCCCTTAATAGGTATTTGCTTTTATTGTTATCCCTGATTCCTACTTAAATACGGATGTTCCCGAGAGTAATGTCAGCACTGGTGTTTCTCCTGTATGTCCTTCAGGTCATTTGTTCCTTGAGGTGCTTTGTTGAGAAATGGTTCTGTGGATAAATAAGGTTGGGAGATGCTACCTCCAGTTTCTCATTCTGGGAGGTTCCCAGAACATATTAACATTAGAAGAGGAGTCCTATCTCTAGCAAAGAGCCATCCTTAATTTTACTTCATCTGGTATATCCCAAATTTATTTTACTGTGAGATCCCTTTGTTCATGAAATTCATATTCTGTAAAACATGCTGGGAAACACTGATTTAAGGCAATTTCTATAGACTCTGCGGGTCAGTTGGCTGAGAACAAACATCAGGATGTCAGCATGGATCTGACTGGTATGGAAACCAAACTATATGTTTCTAGAAAGAATAGCCAGGAAAAGAGATCAGAGATGAATTTCTTGAAATTCACCATCTCGTCAGAGAGCCCTGGACAGGTAGTTATGTGAATGCTCACCCGTGAAACAGCATGTGTGGCTCACGTAGTGGAAATCCGGGGCCTTATTCTTAAAATTGAAAGACCTCAATCTGTCCTGTAGTTTCTTACATCAGGGCACAGCTATAAGACTGAGATTATTCCTTATGTTCTTGATTAAAGTTGTCCTCCTTCTACTGAGTTATCATTTGTTCAGAAGTGCTTTTTCCCTGGGCTCCTGCTCTTCACCCCAATCAGGGTGCTTTTCACTGCTGCTATAGAGACATAATAATTTAAGAAGTGTTCTGGGACCGCATGTAAAACGGGCACTTCTGTGTATCTCCAGAAGAGGAGTTATTAATAACTGAGCCTTCATATGTGCATCAGAGATGTCCAGCTGGGGTAGCTTTTATGCAGTAGACTCAGGATTACTGCCTCAAGTATGGGGCATCTCACACCTGTCCTTAAAGAGACACCACTTACTGTCACTCATGCTGATTTCTCTAGGCTGGAATCTGAGGCCTGTGACCAGCCCCCACTTTCCAAAACTAGACACCCTCCCTGGGATATGGTTCCCTTCCCTTCTTAACAATTCTACCTTTATGGTAGCCCTTGAATTTATTCCTCCTTATATGATCCAGGAACCATGTGATAATTTTTAAAATGGGCCTCCGTGTCCTTGATGCCTACCTTTATCCATTCAGATCAGTCCTGGACATGGCTGCTAGAATGAGTTTCAACTCATTGAAAGGCACAACTCTGATTACGTTCTTTCTCAGCCCAAAACTTGCTCAGAGTTTCTGTGGTTTATGCATCGGGTCCAGACTTTATTTTTGCATTCAGGGCTCTGGTCTACCTTTCAAGACCTGTCTTCTCTGCCTTGCTGTTTCCTGTCTCGCCATCAAGCTACACTGGGCTGTCTTGGTACATCTTGCTTCCTGTACAGCATGTCATGACGTTTCCTTTTTCTGGAGTGGGTCGTCCAATTACATAAATCATAACCATCGTTTGAAACCCAGTTAGAATGTTATTGTCTTCTTCTCTCATCTTTGACCGAGATATAATCTCTCACATTCCCTTGTCCCCTGCAGCTTTTGTTCCTACCTCTGTTGTAGCACTACCACATCTGTCGGTGTTAGAGTTGTGTGTATGTGTGCTTCCAGATGGCAGACACTGTGTCTTTATATCACTGTGTCCTCCCAGCAACCTAGATGAGTGTATTGCATAGAGCGGTTCAATAAGTATGTGTCAAATGAATGAGAACCATTACATAATACAAGAGTCTAAAATCTATCATTAAGAATCCCAAGTTTGTGCTATTGCCCTTGATGTAATACCTCTTTTGGGGGGCAGAGGGGAGATAAAATCTTTATGTAGATTGAGTTTTCATAGATCATACTTTAAATGTACTAGGGGAGCTTGTTATTTAAAGAAATTCTGTGGTTTATCTTTTTATAAGGCCTTTTGGGAGGTGGTGGGCTCATAGAATAGAACATTTTCATACTGACTTGGTTAAATCAGGGAACATTGCTGAAGAGAGGGGTCTTTACTGTTCATTGAGTTCACAGAGCCAGGAGGTTCCCCAATGTGGAACCCCTTGTTAGGGCTCACTTATGGGCAGGGAGGGGTGGCAGGAACTGGGCGCAGACCTAGAGCATGTCTGGGATGTGCTGAAGTTGTACCGTGGGAAGTTATACACTTTTTTTCCCCGTTACCCTGGCCCCCAGGACCCTCTGTGTTCTCAGGATTTCTAATACCACTCTAGAAGGTTCCATGTAGTCCAGGGAAGATTTAGTGTCTGTGGACTCCACAGATGTAGGCACCAGGGCAAAGAGTCTACAGTGAGGAGATGGATACTGGGAAGATAAATGGGGAAGGAATCTGGATTTGTCGGGGAAATGAGGGCTAAAAGACAGGACCCACAGCTTCTGGTCATGCCCCTAACTAACTACGTGACCTGCTCTTTTCACTTCCTTGGAACTTTCTCTTCTTGTGTCTAAAATACTAGCATGAGATTAAGAAGACATCTAGGGTCCTTTCTGGCTCTAGCTTCTGGAATCACAAATTTCACGTTGTAAATAAGTCAGGGCTTGGAATGGATTTGGGGTGCGAGCTGAGGCATACAAAAGGAACCTGAGTTTGTTTCTAAGGACAGTAGCTCCCAGCGAATATTTGTCATTCTTGTCATTTAGATAAATATCATCTCCTCAGAAGGCCTTCCTTGGGGACTCAAGCTAAAGTACTCACCCAGCCACTCTATCAGAAGAGCTGATTTTAATTTTCTTCAGTGTATTTTCTACCTGATGTTTTGCCTATTTGCCTGATTGTTTACTGCCTGTCTCCTCACACCAGGACAGATTCTTCCTGGGAGCAAGGACCTTGTTCACCTCTGTAATCCTAACGCTTAAGGAGAGTGCCTGGCTCAGAATGACCACTCAAAAGATAACCGTTAAATGAATGAGTCCATATGCTTAGGAGTGTTAGTTCACTTCTGCCCGAAACTCTCCCAGGTAGACAGACTGGTTTACTGAAGAGTGCAGGAGAGCAGGGGCATACTCCACCGTGGGTGTGAGCAGGCCACAAGCAGCGATGCTCTGCGGGGCGGGGCGGAGGCCATCTTCAGTGAGGCCCAACTTCCCAGTGGTGGCGAGCCTCAACGGTTTCCATCAAGGAGCCTCAGGTTGAGGAAGACTCACTCAGATGCTGGTGTAAACCATTGTGAGGGGCCTTCACTATATCCTTTCAGGTTTTAAAAAGTAGTCTCACAGCCATCGTCTTATAAATCTGGTTTCTTTTGAACGACTTGAAGTCCAGGCAGCATAATCTGGGACTGAGCATGGTTTTGGAAATCAGAAAGAGCTGAAATGAAACTAATGATGTACTACATGTTGACTAATTGAATTTAAATAATAATAAGAAGATAAAAGAGCTGAGATGAATGCCCCAAGTGCCATTTATCAGCTGCATAAACCAGGTGATGATACTACCCGACTCTATTTCCCTTTTGTAAAAATAGGGTTTTACATAAGGCTGTTAATAAAGATTAAAGGAGATTTTATAGTAAAACACCAGTTAATAGTGACTGAAACATAGCCAGTATTCAACAAATGTCAGTTGGTGCCCTCCTCCTTTTCTTAGGTAACATTTGCACACGGTACTAAGTCAAATGGTACAAGAGGGTATCCAGTGAAAAGAACATCCTCTTATCTGTGATCCTCGGTTCCCCCAGGCCCGTCCCCTGGGAAATCATTGTTTCCAGGGTCTAATGTATTTTCTCTGAAAACACTTCAAGCATATAAAAATTTTATGTATTTGCTCAACCTCCTTTTTTTTTTTAAATTTTATTATGTTATGTTAGTCACCATACAATACATCATTGGTTTTTGATGTGGTGATCCATGATCCATTGTTTTCATATAACACCCAGTGCTCCATGCAGTACGTGCCCTCCTTAATACCCATCACCGGGCTAACCAATCCCCCCTCCCCTCTCCCCTCTAAAACCCTGTTTGTTCCTCAGAGTCCATAGTCTCTCATGGTTCATCTCTCCCTCCAATTCTACCCCCCTATTTTTCCCTTCCTTCTCCTAATGTCCTCCATACTATTCCTTATGTTCCACAAATAAGTGAAACCATATGATAATTGACTTTCTCTGCTTGACTTATTTCACTTAGCATAATCTCCTCCAGTCCCATCCATGTTGATGTAAAAGTTGGGGATTCATCCTTTCTGATGGCTGAGTAATATTCCATTGTATATATGGACCACATCTTCTTTATCCATTCATCTGTTGAAGGGCATCTCGGCTCTTTCTACACTTTGGCTATTGCGGACATTGCTGCTATGAACGTTGGGGTGCATATGGCCCTTCTTTTCACTACGTCTGTGTCTTTGGGGTAAACACCTAGTAGTGCAATTGCTGGGTCATAGGGTAGCTCTATTTTTAAATTTTTGAGGAACCTCCACACTGTTTTCCAAAGTGGCTGTACCAACTTGCATTCCCACCAGCAGTGTAAAAGGGTTCCCCTTTCTCCACAACCTCTCCAACATTTGTTGTTTCTTTCCGTGTCCATTTTTGCCATTCTAACTGCAACCTCCTTTTTTAAAAAAATAAACAGCACCTGCTCTTGTGAACTTTTAATGGGATCCTATGTAAGTAGCTACTAAAGAGGCATGGGGTGGGGGCTAGAATAGCAGAGATCTTTGGATCAGAATTACATTCACAGAAAGCCGAGTAATCTCTTTGGTATATAGGAACGCGGACAAGAATGTTTCACAGGGAATGCACACATACATGAGTGCGGGGATAGCATGGTAAGTTGGAAAGGGCAGGGGATGGTGGAAAAATGTGTGCAGAGTGGGTTGATTTGTAAGTCTTCTCTCTAAGTGGGGGACAGCTGCATAAACTTGCATTAAAAATAGGCTGGCACAGAGAAGCAGTTCCAACTAGCATTCAGGCTTCGGTCTTTATCAGAGCCTCTCATGATTTGCTTCATTGCTGCTGCTCTCTGCTTCCATTTAATCGTTCCTAAAATGGGGATAATAAAAATGAAATGCAGTGGGGGTGTGTTCTGAGTAATGACTTCAAGAAATGATGATGGTGCATTTTCAGGCTGTAAGATGTAAACACGCTTTAGAGGGACTGTCTGGGTCCGAATCGCAGGAGGGTATGTATGGGTGGCATCTCTGCTTGCCTTTCCCTCAAGATAAGAAGGGTACCTTATAAGCCCACTCCCTCTTCTCTGCCTCCACCTATCGGAAAATGCCCTTCTTTATGCAGATTAAAACATTCTCAGTTTGTCGGGGTCATTGTTTTCGCTCCCCAAATCCCAGTTACCACCTTAGGCTTGCAATGTGAGATATTACAGCCACATCCCGTCCTGAAAGAAGGGCTAGAAATAAAAGTACTTAGCACACACTGCTGGGCCCATAATAGTATTTATGAATTAATGGATAGATCAGGGGGAGAGAGGAAGGGCACTAAACTGGTAGAAGGAAGATCCCCGAGAGTGACAACAGCAACAACATAATAAGACCAAATGCTCTACCAGCATCTGGAGCCGGAGATGAATGAGACATGTTACGAGATGCTATATGCCTCTGACAGCCTCGTAGCCAGGAGGCGGCGGGTGCTGTGTGATATGAGCACCTGAGGGCGACGGTGATCATATTCCAGAATGATCCATTTGGTGATGATACAACAGAGGTTGATTGCTGCTGTGGCAGATGCCACTTGAAAGCTGTTGACTGACAAAATAAACCAGCCACTCCATCTCCTCCCTGGCATGCATGCACGCTCGCGCACGCACACACACACACACTCACTCAGTCACTGCCATCCACACTGACAGACTGCTCCCGACACAGGAAGCGCATCTGTTTGGTTATCCGCAGTATGTCTGCGCCCAGCCCAGTGTGAGACATTGCTGAGTAGGCCAGTGGACATGCTGTGACAGCCCGAACACACCTGTCCAAGCTGTGCTCCACCTCCCATCCTTGGAGGAGACGCCAGGAAGGAATCCGTGCTCTCCTCAGGCTCCACAGAGGTTGTCTGAGGAGGTAAAACAGAAGCTTCTCGTGTTGGGGGTGTTTGCTCTGGATCTCCCTGATGATACTGCCATTTGACAACATGCTATTTTTACCGACTTTGAACTGAGTACTAATGTGCATCATTGGATTAAGGGATTAGAAAACAGGATCCATGGAGGAAGGCTGTGGGAATTGGGTTTGTTAAGGGGAAGAAGAAAAGGCAATGAAGTGATGACTTACTCCCTTTAAATGTATGAAGACTTACTGTGCCAAGTGTGGAGATCAGCTGTTCCCTTTCTCCTCTGAGACAGAAGCAGAGTAAGTGGGCTTAAGATCAAGCAGAGAGGATTTATATTAGCTATAGGGAGGACTTCTTAATAGAGAGAAGTTTTGAGTAGTGGAACTGTTAACAACACCAGGGGATGACTTTGGAAGTCCTAAAAATTGGATATGTCCTCCTTTCTCTACCATGTACAGCCCAGCCCAAACAACAATGCACGAAACACATGGCTTTAAGTTTTCCTTCCGTTCTCCTTCCCTCCCTCCCTTCCTTCCCCCCTCTTCCCTGTCCTTTCCTGCCCTTGCCTTCCACACAGAATTCTTGAGCACCGACCATGAACCAAGCATTGCCCCCACGAAATTAGTATTGTAGCTTTCCTGGTGGCAGGGGAAAAAGGAGGAACAACACTTATGATTTTCTTATAAAGATAATTTATTAAAAGACTCATTAAAGACATTTTGCTTACTAAAGACATTTGGGGGGGATAAGGTAAAATTTACCAGTACACATTCCTACAAAGGTATTGTAAAGAGAGGAGCGCCTGGGTGGCTTAGTCAGTTAAGCGTCTGCCTTCGGCTCAGGTCATGATCTCAGGGTCCTGGGATCGAGCCCCGCATTGGGCTCCCTGCTCAGTGGGGAGCCTGCTTCTCCCTCTCCCCCTCCCCTTCCTCATGCTCTCTCTGTCTCTCTCTCAAATAAATAAAATCTTTTTAAAAAAGTCTTGCAAGGGGAAAGGTTCTTATTGTGACACTTGAAATTTCTGTAACTTAAGATGGTGTTTCAATCTTACTATTTGATATGGTCTAATAGTTGGGTGGATGTTTCATGTTGCTTGGTTAGTAAAGACTCTGCTGATATTTATTTATGACCGTGGCTTACAAACAGAGTGACATGGTTTTGGCTGCCTTTCTGAGTTGTGGTTATCACAGACTCTCACATCCAAGTGTTCCCTTCTTATTCCCTGAGCTCTCAGAGCCATGATGCACCCTGTTCATTAACCCCTTTCTTGGGGTTCCAGAAAGATTCCCCTGGGGGCCCTGGGAAGAGAGAGTATACTCTTAACCCCCAGTGTCTCAACACTGCTGTTATTAAACTCAGTCCACAATGTCAGATTGCAACCTAATTTATGTTTCTAAAATAATTTGAAGAGAAGAGCAGGATGTATTGGGAGAAGAGACTTCAGAAATGTCATTTCAGAAACGCTAGTTGTCTTCGTGTTGGTCGTCAGCCACTGAACGAACGAAAGGGATAAAAGAACAAGATAACCTTGGTTGACTTTACTTTTGAAACCTGTACATGCTGATGGGGGAGGAAAAGCAGAGTTGAACTTGGAGACTGAAGCTTAACAAAACACGGTAAAGAGGAAAGCGTCCCCAAAGCTAAAAAACAGCTGTCATCCATCTTGTTTGTTTTACTGAGATTTTTATTTCATGACAGTTATCAGTGGTTGGCTCCTGAGTCCTCTGAACTGTGTTTCTAATTTCCAGGTTATAATACTTCTTCCAGTAGTGGTATTGAAGAAGAAATAGTGGTGTACAGGTTAGAAGACTCTTGTGTTTATATGCAGGTTAAAAACATTTATGATTTTCTTATTGTAAAGGTCATTGATGCTTATTAAAGACATTTAGGGAGATGAGATAAAAATTTCCCTATATACACACAAAGACTTAGTATTTACATTTCTTCTATTTCTTACTGATGCTTTTTTTCTGTGCATGTTGTATGTTACATATAACCCAGGGAAATACAGTAGAATTGAGACTACAACTTATGAACAGTTTATAATCTACTTTCCTCTCTTAATATGATATTGTGGATGTTTTTCTGTTTTGTTGATATTATCCAAAGCATGAAACTTAATGACCGTCTAATATCCCATCGTGAGGATGTATCATACTTCTTTAAACTGGTCCCTCGTGACTAGACATTTGTGTATTAAAAAAAGACTGATACTCATGAAAGTAATTGCAGAGTTTTTGATGGTCCAACTTTGAAGCCACAAGACTGCTTTTCAAAGTAACAAGTTTGACCACTTTTCCTGTTATCTAATGTCCCTAAAAGCTAAAAATGAGAGCCCTTAAACTGAGAATTGCTTGGGTTGTATTAATTCACTAACAGCAAATGGACATATATATACAGTTGGAATGGAAGGCTCTTTTTTGTGATTCCTGGTCTTCCAGGTCTCCTGGAGGGTTTTTTTTTTTCTTTTTCTTTTGATCTTCTGGTGAGTGTGTTACCCTCTAACTTAGCTGATAAGAATATTTCTTATCTTTGATAGGTGGAACATACAGAGAATGGGGTTGGCCATGTGGTTTGTCTGTCTGTCTGCAGTTTTCGTCATTGGGATCATTTTCTTGAGAGGTGGAGGCTTGTAAAATTCAGACCCATTTCCCAAGGAACTCATAGGCCTCATGCTTGGTGTGTCAACCTTTCTCGTGCTATTTTTGTTCTCCGTGGCATAAGAGTCAAGGAGGAAGGGAGAGCAGTCCCCTTCTTGCACCAGTGGGGGCAGCACTTGGCTAACGCATGTAATCTACAGGCTGATGAGCCTTCAGACTGGACCAGGCCTCTATAACAGGGTGCTATTCTTTTTATACTTTTATGGATTTTCCACCAAAGAAGATACGTTGTGCGTACATTCATGGCATGTCGACTTTAGCTGAGATCTGAAGTTTGACATTAAAACTATAATATCTGGATGTCCTTCATATACAAACAAGCTCTATTGACCTAGCATGACAAGATCATCTGCTTTGAGTCTTTCCTGCAGTGATGATGGATTTGTACTAGTCCGTATGCAACCCCTCTCTCTGTAATACTTATTTACGAGAGCTGGCCTGGAACAGGGTAAACAGAATCCATGTACACAGGGAGAAGAGCTCTGACCTTGGCACGTTAACTCTGCTAACCAGCCTGCAATACAAAGCTTTGAAAGGAAGTATAGGCCAATGAAGAAAATAAATGGTCTTTAAGAATGAAAGCTATTAACAAAAAACCTGGATACGAATCTCCCACAATAGCTGTAGAACTGCAATTATTTGGAATGATTTTAATATTTTCTCTATTAGAATTTTCTCTGTTCATAATTCAGTGAATGTTTTAGTTCATTGTGTGTGGAACATTTGGTTATATGTACATGTATGCATATCTGTCTATCTGTACGTATACATCTATCTATTCTATATCTATACAGAGACAGAGAAGTGGGAGGAGAGAGGGAAGATTTAAGATGGCTTGGAAGCTCTCACCTGGTGTAATCCAGGTGTTCTCTGCTGTCATAAAGGCTACCCACTGCTGGTTCGACAGGTATTCTAGGACTTAGCTCTGTCAGTTAAGTGTTCTAAAGGTTTAAACTTAAAGCAAATCTGCGCTAGGACATAGGTGAGAGGAAAAGTGTGAGCTTGGAGAGGCAGATAAAGAGAAGAACACATGTAGATGAGTCATGGGGAGACTGATGGGCATCTAGAGGAAGAAAACCATTCTCCTTTGCTATATATTCCAGGGGACACAACATTCTGTGTTTACACCAAACTCCTCTAGATATCCTTTCACATTTTTCTATTTCAAGGGTTTGGTGTAAGATATCTTCTAAAATCATTGTCTTTGGCTATTCCTGTAATATGTACCATTTTTCTTCATTCATCCCCTAGGGAAAGGAACTTGCTGGCAAAGGAACAGAATAGTACCTCGCAAGTAGAATTTCTGGTGGGTAGTTCAGCCACCTCAGCATTCTCTTTATAGAGTAGTAAAACAAACAAGACCTTTATTTTCCCTCTAGGAGAAGGGAAAGATGTGCAGTTCTAGAACAGTCTAGCCTAGAATTAAGGTTTGGCCATTGACACATCTGACATTGATACAGCACTTTATTAACAACGTGGTTTATCAAGAACTTTAGCATATATGATCTCATTTTGATTCCTACTAAACCTTTAGCAAATACTTGTACAGATAAGTAAACTGAGACTCAGAGAGGTCACATGATTTGCCCAAAGGCACACAGATGAGTGGCAGAGCTGGGTGTAGACACTTATATCCAGCTCCACTTAACGTCCCGTATACGTTGTGCCTTAACACGCAGAAGACTAGAAGACTACAACTAGACTGATGGGACCGAAGTGTAGCAGCGTCAGTAGGAACAGCTGTGTAGACCAGAGGACAAATCACACCACGGAAATGCTGGAGGGGGTGGGGAGTAGTTAGTCGTTAGCCCAGACTGTGACTGGCTATTTCAGAGTGACATTTTCCTGAGATCAACAAAAATGAAGAAGGAAGAGAGGGAGGGAAGGACAGAGGCAAGAAAGAAAAGAACAATAACAACAACAAAAAAGCTTTTCTGCATTTCTCTATCCCTATACCTCCTCCCTGTTATTACACACACACACACACACATACACACGTGCTTATATCCTCTTCTCAGTCGAGAGCAAGAACCTATCTCCTCAAAACGGTGAGGATGAACATGTATCTTTCACTAATAAAGGTATGGCCACCTACAGACACAACTGTCCAGGTCCTGATCGCGTTGAGGGGATTTTCTAAGAAACCACTATCTTCTGCATGCCAAGCTCTTCTGAAACTCGGCCCCCATTGCGGTGTTGCTGAGGCCATGCAGCCCCCTTGATCAGACAGCTGCTGGAGGTGTAGAGGAATGTCGAAACACCAAGGGGAATCTAAAATAGCTGACCTACAAAACAGCCCTTAAGTCTTAGGAGAGTGAAATGAAATTTTAACTTAGCTTTCCATAAAACACAATCAACCAAATATTTTATGAACTCAACTCGCTAAGAGAGAGGAGCTTGGGGAATCTCATGTAAAAGGAGATGAATGTTCATTAAGATTACATATATCTTATATTAAATATATATTTTTTTCATATATATAGATGAAGGACAAAGAGCCAAATTCAACGAATAAGAACACCGATCTTCTGTGATTCATCACTGCCGCTTAAATAGTTCCCCAAATGTGATTGTGGGTCTCACTGTGGTACATGAGTTAATTTAAGAGGGACAGGTATTTTTTTTTATTTAAATAATCATGTAGTTATCTTTGGCAAGTGGCACTTGTCTCACATTTACAGTAATATGAAATTTTTAAATACATTTTTAAAAGGAAGGCTATTGCATATATTAAATTAAAAATAGCCTAGGTGATACACAGATGTGGACAAAATTGCTACAGTGGTGCTTGAATGAGTGAAATTTCGGGAAATCGTTCCACAGGGCAAAATGTTCTCCCTATCCCAGCCCCCAAGTCACATCTCAAGCCTGACCCACCTTTCCATCTTCTTCGCCCTTTACCTCCTTGCATTTAGTCTCCACGCCAACACAATTGCCACTAACCCTTCTTCAGCACCCCCTGCACTTTTATGCCTACGTGTCTTTGCTTATGTTGTCCCCTTAACCTTGGATCATTAAACGTGTCCTTTCAGCCGTAGTTTAAAAGCCAAGAGGCATCATATCTTACCTCTGCACAGCACAGTGGTTTATTTACAGAAGCATAAATAAATGTTCTTCCACCTTTCTTTTCCTCAATTTCATCTATAAAATGGGAAGAATAGCCGTGAGGATCAAATAAGTTTTAATTCATGTCAGATTCTTAGTGCAATATCTGGTGTGTAACAGGTGCTTTGCAAATGTTCAGTTGCTTTGCTGAACGTATTGTAAACCAATGATAACACAATTGAAATTGGGTTCTAGAAAACAAGAACGTGAAGAGAAACGACAATGCGTACACAGAGAACGAATTTGGGTTTTGGGCTTAGTCACTGAAAGGAAGGCACCAGGAAATAACAGAATTCTTGCCCTGCTCAGGGATAAATTCGTAATGAGCAAGCGTTCCTCCTTTGTTGTTAAACTTTTTGCACAAGGATTTTTTCAGAAATTGAAACTTAAAATAGTGGCAAAGTGCATGGCTTAGCATGGCAGTCCATGATGGGCCCGTCACCCAGGCATCAGGGAATGAAAATCCTCCTTCGCTTTGATTTATCATATTTGTGGGTTGTTGGTAACCATTGAATAACAACCAAAACACATTAAACAATAATGACAGTTCCTGAAACCTTGTAGTGTGTCCTTGTGCTATTTGATCTCCTTGGGCTTTGTTTCATTGTAATAAACCTGTACTTTGTGGTTGATAATAAAGAACCACCCTTCTCCCCTTCCTCGCCTCCCTATTGTGTGGTGAGTAGATTGGCCCACAACCATTAAAGGAATTCCTTCCATAAAGGAGAGTGGTTTATGTCAAAAGACAGTCCTAGTCAGGGTCGAGTATAAAGGGGATGATAGTTAACAATTGACACCTGAATAGTGTTTCACGGTTTGCACCACACTGGTCCTCAGTGTGGTGTCTGGACCAATAGCATCAGCATGCCTAGTACGTTATCTGAAATGCATATTCTCAGTTCCTACCCCAGAAGCTCCAAAAGTGAGGCCCAACAATCTGGATTTTGACCTATAAAATGCAGGGATAGTTTATCACAGACATTTCCTTCTCACAAGAGAAGTATTTGTTTAATGGATATTTAAGACGGCCACTCTGTCATTGTCCTTTGTTCTCATTTTATTTTCCAACCATTAACTGTGAAATAAAACTGAACATCTATCCCTCCATAAAGTGGAGGACAGATCCAGAAGCCTGGCAAGAAAGAGTTAAGGCCTGTCCCACTGACTCCAGGACATTCTGAATTACCTATCGTATGGGGTAGCTGCTACAGAAACTTCCTGATTATTAGGCTGGTAGTCTGGGTTTCTTCATTCAGCAAATATCTACAGAACCCCTACCAAATGCCAGGCACTCTTCTGGGTGTAGAGTAAACAGTAATAAGTTCCCTGCCCTGAAGGAGTTTATGTCTTGCTAAGGAAGGTCAGACAATGAACACATCAACAAGTAAATAAATAGGATAATTTCACAGGGCATCAAGGTGCTATTAGGGTGGTGAGATAGGGTGCAGTGGTTCTCAGCCGCATGATGTCATCCCCCAGAGGGGCTTTTGGAAATGGCTTTATTATTTTAAATAAGTTGCCAGTTTAAGTCCTAAGGAATATGTCCAATGGCTATTGTTTGAAATGAACTGACAACTTAATGTAAAAACTTTCCACATTATTCCTATAAGACCTATGCTTAAACTTTATATAGATACTGTGCTGAGACTATAGACCCATTTCTGAGCCATAGGGGAATATGGGTAGTATTTGATCTTCCATTTTTTCCTAGGTTTCAGAGAATTTTGTAACTTGACACATCAGCCTATAAACATTCCAGTATTGATTGATTTTTCCAAAGAATTGAGATGCATTAGGCCTTACTGTGTAGTAAGTTGCCTGCCCTAACCTGCTGCAGGTGAGCAGGACACCATTTTGCGGCTATTGTGGTAATGACCTTCTCCATTGTTTCCATGTGACCCTGGAAGTCATGGTGTGATACTATAGGAGGACCTAGTGAGGATGTTTAGGAGAGGTGATAAACCAGCAGTCCACAGACTGCTTTTGGATCATAGACATGTTCTATGTGGCCTAAGAGAGGTGTATTTAAGACTAAATTGGTTTTGGCACTTAAGAATTGAAAGATTTCCCCTTAGAACTCCAGATTTTTGGATTTCCTGAAGAAATCAGGAGAGTGGCAGCACTGGGCTCACATTCTGCTGGAGCTGAGGGGTGTAGCCTCCTTTGGATGGAATGCATGCTCTCCAGTTCAATACAGTCACTCCCCCTCCCCACCCCCCAGTGTCCTATCGCTTTTATTAATGATCTAACTGGTTCTTACAGAAGTTTGAAACTCGCAGAACAGAAGTGAATTCAGAAAAGATTCAGTCCCTGCTTAAGATCTAGAATGTCTTCTTTGAGAATGGGTTTAAGAACTGGTATTTATGGAGCAGACACCATCTTTTGATTGCTTGCTGCAATTCACCTTGGCGTCTCTAGGGGGAGCTGAGAATTCTGAGTACAGTTTAAAAATGCATCCGTGTCCAAGGCAATTACAGTTCTATATTGTACTGATTTTCCAAATTCACCTTAGGATTGTAGAAGAAAAAAGACACTACTTGTCTAAACGGCTTTCTACTTATCAGACAATGAAATACAGAAATACAAACTGTTGATGCCTTAAAAAGTTTTAGGCATAGAAAGGTTGTGAATTTGTCTTTTTTTTCTTGGCAAAGTAACAGGTAATCCTAACTGGACAGATATCCTGGAAAGGCTTCATAGGTGTGAGCTTTCAAGGGGAATTTGAATGATCCAAGGGCATTTCCTGGCAGAGAAGCAAAGTCTTCAGGCAGAGGAAATCTCAGCCAGGAGACCAGGAGAATGAAGGAAGGGGGTGGGTAAATGAAATAAATGTGGGGTCGGAAAAACTGAAATTAGAAGGGGGGACAAATGTCACACTTAAAGTAGTAGCAGAAAACTGATAGAGATGAAAGAGAGAGCGAAAGAGTCTGAGTGTAGTGAGAGAGCAGGGGGCTTCTGTGATGCTATTCTGATGAAACTAAAGTGGAGGAACAGAAAGAAAAAAAAAAAAAGCAGAATCAAGAAAAGAGGTTGAAATGGTCCCGGCAGGAGAAGATCCCCACTCAGATGAGATTTTGAGCATTCAGAATAGAAGGGAAAGAATGTTAATCATGGAAGTAATGGCACATGTATATTTACGTACATATGCTGAATATGGATATAAGGGGAGTGCTTGGTCTCTTTCTGTCTTGGAAACACTGT